TGAGGAATCCTCTCTCCTCCATTCTCCTCTAGGGATCTTGGGCACACGCGTGCACACACACATGCCTGGCCTGAGTGTCAAGCTACCGGGTCCAAGACTCAAACCACAATCGGCCACGGGGGGGTCCAGCGACATATCCACACCATCTGCTGGCCCCACAGGTATTTCTTTAAATGCAACTTTCGACTGGGCTTCCAAAGGCGTCTAGAAACCAGCGAGTCCTCAGAAAAGAAACGTGGACATTCGCACATCCTGAGGGGCAGCTGAGGACCCCCAACTCAAAACGGAAGCAGATTGAGCCCCGCAGAGGGTCTGCTCCTCCGGGTCCACTTCCTGCTCCATGCTCTAGAGAATCCTGTCTCCCACAGAGCCCCGTGACCTCGCCTACCCAGGACGGAGAGCCTGGCATTGATCTCTGCAAGTCTCTGCGGCAACGAGAAAGAAAAGAGGCTTCTCTGTCCCTCCCTCCCTGATGGCCACGCTTCCGGGGTATGGAGGGAGGGCTGAGGACTGTCCCCCAAGCAGCAGTTGGGCCTGGTGTTACGTCGAGACCTAAGCCCTCCAAGGTGTCCCAGGCAGGTCTGGGGCCACAGGCCATCGCTGGGTTTCCGAGGGGAGGCCAGCGCAGAAAGATGCCTGCACGGTCCACGTGGGGGCCCGCCTGCACCTCGTCTACCACCTTGGCCCTCGCAGCCACAGCACGGGGCAGCCTGCCTCATGCGCGCCGGTAGGGGAGAGTGGGAACGGGGGCACTCACAGGTAATTGGCCAGGTTGTGCTCCTGCAGGGTGTGGGTCTCGAAACCGTGTGGCACCGTGTCGAAGTAGTCGTTGCCTATGCCGCAGATGAAGCACTTGGTCTGGAAGACACAGCAGGCACGTCAGAGCGCAGAGAGCAGTTGGGGGACAGGACAGCTAAACATGAGGCCGCCACGTGGAGCCGGCAGACCCGGCTGCCCCCGCATGGCCTCAGGGACTCGGCAAGGAGGGGCAGCTGCAGAGAGGGTGAGAGAGCAGCGCCGAGGAGCACCATCCTGTGTCCTCCACCGTGGGGGCAGGTCCAGGCTGCCTCACTCGTGGCACCCCCACGGCCACCCATGGGGCCCTCTGCGCCTTCCTGAGCACGAACATGCCACCACACTGGGGAAGGCTCAGCTCTCTGATTTCTGGGGAGGCCACATCAGTGCTCTGTGAGGCATCTGGGGACCTTTCGGGGGCTCTGCCTGCCATGTGGTGGGCACTAGGCTGAGCACCCCGGGAGCGGCCCCGAGCCAGGGACAGGCAGGGGCTGCATCGCATCCCAGGACTCTAAGACGTGTGCACCAAGTGAACCTGCCAGGGACGTCCCATGGGACCCCACGGTCCTCCTTCCTGCCAGCAGCTTCCACGGCAGGGCTGCACCGCATGGGCAGTGGTGGGCCTCGTGGAGGCTCAGGCGCCCTGCTCTGCACAGGGCTGGCCTCCAGGGTTTCAGTGTGCTCTGCCCCACACCTGGCAGCTCGGCCTGAAGCCCACTGGGTCCCAGCTCGCTCCTCTCAGCATGGCATGTGGCCAGTCCCCGAGTCTCTCACCACAAGCCCCTCTGAGTCCACCCGGGGCTCCTCCTCATGGCGACTTTGGCGAGCACCTCATCCGACCTGGGAGGTTGCGCCTGGCCTGCCTGGGCCGGCTTACAGGTAGCGCCCACGTTCCCAGCACTGTGGCTGCCAGATGCAGCTCTTGGCCTCGAAGCCCCCTGCCCCGGCCTCACCCTCCAGCCCTGCCAGCCCTGTCCCAGAGCCTCCGGCTCCAGCCAAACCCCGTGAGCAGCCAAGGAAGAACACACAGCAAGTCCCTAAATGTGCCGGGGCAGAGACTCCAGCGGCGACAGATCCCCAGACTCCAACTGGTGGCGCCCTGCCTGCTCCCCACCCGGCCCTGTACCTGCCCCTCTGGCCTCAGCTCCAGCATCCCTTGTTCCAGGAAGAGCCCTGGTCAATCCAAGGTGGATCAGACCCTGTGCTCAGCCCCACAGAGGCCCGGCCAGCCGCAGTCATCCATCTGGCTGGCTGCTGGTGCCACAGCACACACGGAATATCAGCTGCTAGTGCCACAGGCGTGAGTGTGGGGGTGCCCAGCCCTGTGCAGCCCACAGCTCAGCACATGCGGCCTGAGCCGAGAGCAGGCTGTCCAGTCCCTTTCCTCCTGTGGCCCCGAGTCTCCCACGAGGCAGGACGGGGCAGCAGGGAGCAGCCGCCAAACTCACCTCCATGTCCTCCTTGACCTGCTCCTGCTGGTCCCGCAGCTCTCCAAAGGCGTCAATAATCAGACCTGGGGTCAGTGAAGCACAGGTCAAGGTCCCCGCGACAGAGGTGACTAAGTTCACGGGGCGCGCCCTCTGACCCCAGGGCAGGACGACCATGCACAAGACGCAGGCACTGGGGCTCCCGGGATGTGGCCTCCCCCTCAGGACAGCGTGAGCCCTCAGGGCAGTGGCCCGACCCGCTCCTGCCGGGACAGTGGAGGACTCCCATGGCACGAAGCATGGAAAACCCTGAGGGCAGCTGGGAGTGCAGCCCTTCCCACGGGCCTGTGAGAGCCGGCTCTCACGCACTGTCTCCCGGGTACTTGGCAACAATCTCCATGACGCTAGGCCCGGGGCTCAGACGCAGGCCATGCCGTGTCTGCCTCGGCCCTCCACACGTGCCCACCGGTGCCCTTTCCCATGTACTTCCCACGCCTCCTCCCACAGGTGCCATCACACAGGCCAGGCCACAGCTGGGGTGGGGGACCTGTGCCCACACCAGCTTCCCAGACCTGTGGGCTGACGGTGGATTCCAGACATCCCATGACAGCCAGGACGGCAGTGCCCCGTGGGCAGACAGCCAGGGGGTTTTCTGTGGGAGGAGCTCTTCTCCAGGATGCCCTCCAGCAGCCCAGGGTGGGGCGTGAGCGAGACCTCGCCCTGCCTGCACTCCTTGGCCGGGACTGTCCGACGGCCTCTTGGCCTGCGCTGCTTGGACTCATGGCTCTACCACCTCAGGTGTAAGACATGACCACAGGGTCACTGTCGCAAGTCAGTGGAGGGCCACACTCGCCTTGCACGTGCATGGCCCCTGCAGGTCCCAGGAGTGAAGCACCGTGGCTGTGCAGGGCTGTGCCAGGACAGTCACTACCAGGACCAAGGTTCAGAACTTCCGCTGGACAGACCCCACGGACACCAAGGGCCACCCACGCACACTCTCAGCCAGGGTGAGGAGTGGGAGCCCCAGGGCCAGGCTTGAACCCAGGAAGGGCCTCCACCATGTCGTGTAAGATGATGAGAAAACTGCGTGTACCCCCAGCGCTCCCCACACGTCCCCACAGACGTCACGGGGAGGACGGCTGCCCCGACACCCCCCGGCACTGTGTGGCAGACAGTGCCTGGCCGAGGGGCTCCGCCGCCCTGGCTGTGAGGCAGCCCACCTTGTATGATGGCCAGGAGGATGACGATGACGAAGAAGAAGAAGGTGATGTCGAAGATGATCCTGTAGATCTCGTACTCGTCCCCTGCCGGGTCCTCGATCTCATCGCCGATGCCCCCTCCGGCCCGCACGCCCACATACATGTGGAACATGTAGCACTGCAGGGAAGAGGCTGCCGTGGGTCAGCACCGGGCCCGCGGTCCAGGCCCAGCCTCACTCTGGGAGTGGCCAGACTCCTCCACCCCGGCCGCATCCTCACTCTGAGGTCTGCAGCACGCCCCAGACGTGGCCTTCCATGACCCTGTGCACGGGAAAGGCGCCATGCTCTGAGCACCTCCGCCCCGCCAGGAGAACAAGGAGACCCCGGCAGTGCCCTGGCCCGAAGCCTCCAACAGCAAGGTGAACATGTCTCCAGCAAAGTGCAGGCCCAGGGCCACGTGTGGCTGCACTGTCCGCCATGCGGAGCCAGCACACACGGGGAAGTGTGGGGACCCCACGGAGGACGAGAGGCCTGAGAGTCAAGCTAGAGAAGGGCCTCGGAGCCCCTCCCTCACCGAGTAAGCGTGCTCGGCCCGGCACAGTGTCCACACCGGGGCGGGGCGGGCAAGTGGCAAGGCCTGGCATATGCTGGACACCAGGCCGTGCGGCCCTTCGCTTCTCCCGCAGATGCTAACACCACACCCGTGGTGACAACAGAAGTGTCAGGCACCCAGCATCCTCTGGACGCAGACCACGCGCTGAGTCCTACTCGAGCCCCCGAGCTCTGGCATCGTCCAGGGCTGGCTGCAGTCCCACTCTGGCTGCATCTGCATGGGACCCGAGCACAGCCATCTGCCCTGTCCACACCGCCTCCTGCACAGTGCCCTGGTGCCAGTGTTCACGGGCCTCACAATGCCCTTCCACCCCCTCCTCCTCGCTTCTAGGGTCCACATGACGCCCGCCAACCAGCTGGCCGTACCCCAACTCCACAGCTCCCTCTCGGGGTCTCCATCAGCCCCTCCCCACCTGTTCTACCCCAGTGGCTGCCCAGGACCTGGTTACCTACTTTTCCCCTTTCTTCTAACTTGCTAGAGGCATGTGTGCTTGCCAGAGAGACAGGAAACAGGAAAGCCCCCCAGGGATGGCCATACCACAACCCCTTCTTCCTGCCCTCCCAGGATCTTGAGCACACGTGCACACATGCTCAACGCGTGTTTCAGGCCACTGGACCTGGGATTCGAACTGTGCCATCTGCCATGGGGGATCCAGTCACCTTAACCTCCACACCACAGGCTGGACCCAACGTCTTTCTTCTAGGACACACCTTGGGGTTTCCCAGGGTCACATCCGGGCCAGTCACCCCCACGTTTCTATGTCCAGCTGGGTCTCCTTCCTGAACCCACGTCCTTCCGCCATCGCCACTCTCCACTCTGGAGTCGCCCCCACACTGAGGACGGCTCAGTGCTGTCGCCCGTGCCCAGGATGATGGCGCGGCAGGCACTCGAGCCACACTGCAAGTGCAGAGGCCACAGTTCTTACTGCCCTGAGGAGGCCATGGACTTCCAGGTCACTCTGAGGGCCCTGGGCAGGGCAGAGAGGAGCCATTTTTTGCTGCTCACGGGGGCCGGCGTGTGCAGAAGCCGAAGTGTGCTGGTCAGGTGCCCAGACATCAAGCAGGAGGGCGTGCATTGTCTAGAGAAGAGGTCGTCCCTGCCCACAGCAGACCGAGGGCACGGGAGGCCGTCTGCTGGTACCTGAGGAACAGGGGCCCCGGGGAGGGCGCGGCCAGGGTGGCAGCCCTTCCCCACAGCCGGCCACAGTGAACTCCCTTGGAGGCACGAACACGGACTCCTTCTGCCACCTGAAAAACCTCACAGGGTCCTGCACTGTCCTCGGACCCACGGGCCCAGCGCTGCACAGACCCGGCACTGCCAGGCCATGGTGGCTCAGAGCACAGTTCTGTGTGCAGAGTAGACTCCCCCACACGGCCTGCCTTCCTTAAGAAGCCAGGGGTCAGCAGGTGGCAGAGTGGCTAAGGATCGCGACTCCTGCATGGCCGACCACGGTGCGAGTCCAGGACCCAGTGGCTTGAAACTCACGCCAGGTGTGTGTGCCCGAAATCGCGAGGAGAATGCAGGAGAGGGCACTGCAGCATGGCCCAGCCCAGGGAGGGTGATTTCCTCCCCATAGCATAAACCTCTCTTAAGAAAGAGAAAAAGCAGTGTGTTTCCACAAGTCTGCTTCTCACGCGTGACAACGGAGGCCATGGGAAACGGGCAGCTGACGCCCAGCCCGCGCTCTCGAGGGAGGGCAGACATGGCTTCCGTCCGTCGCCGGGTACGCTGGCCCTGTGACTGGAGCCCCTGTGCAGGGTCTCTGCTGAGGGCGCCCTGGCTCTGGTCTAGCACACATGCATGCCACCCTGGTCCCTGGGCCCCACACGAGCCTTGCAGCCCCCGCCCACGGCTGCCCTGGAGCCCGCCCGCTGACTCAGGGAGCTGAGAGCCACCAGAGCAGCCGTCTTCCTGTGGTGCCCGAGGACTGGGGACTGTGGTCACTGCCAGTCGAGGGTTCTCTGCAGAAGACAGGTTGGCCTGCTGTGTGACCACCCATGAGTGCGAGTGTTCTGACTCTCAGGCTCACGTGAGCCTGGCTAATGTGAGTCTGCCCCAGAGGATGAGTCACATTTGGTTTCTAGATATGTAAGCTGAAGACAGGACCTGGAGTGAGGCTGCACGGCGAGGGAACTCCCCTTCAGATCTCTCGTCAGCCCTCTAACCAAAGGCATCCCAGTGTATTCTGACAGCGGGTTCACGGTCTGGAAACGTAAGGAGTCTTGCAGATTGGATTACCTGGCTAGACTAAAGACCAGAGTGTGCAGAGCACTGTGGGCTCGTCCCGAATATCCCGGCCCCTCCCCTCACCACCGGCCGACCCTGCAGGGGTGCAGTGAGTGTCGCCCCCAGGCTCCGGCTTCCAGCTGTCCAGCCAACCTGCTCCTGAGAGTGGGAGTCCTTCCGCTCCCTTCCCTTCCCACGGATCAGCCTCACCTGCCCCTAAGTGCGGGCGATGAAAAGTGACGCTCCCGCCAGAGACGCGAGCAGCCGGGAGGAAGGCCCAGGCCTGCAACCCCGAGAATGGCCATGGTGCGCCCCCGTGCCCCCATCTCTGAGCCAGCTCCTCCTGGGTTAGGCACTTCCTGCTGGCAGGAACATGGCAGGCCCGTGTCTCATGGACTGGGTCCCTGACCTTTCTCTTGGCCAGAAGAACAGAAACAGAAAGGGTGACCGTGAGCCTGGTGGGAAGGCGGCGGGGCTGGAGCCCGGTGTGGGGTCGGTGGTTACAGACTGGCTGCCCCTTCGTGGTGACCATCCTCACACATCAGGCCAGCCCCGAGGCTGCCCAGCCACCGTCCGCTCACCCTGGATGCAAGTCCTCTCCCTTCTCCTCCTACGATCTCCCAGGAGGTTCTGAGGCCGGCAGGACACTGGGTCCACCGTGGACTTGGGCTCAGCACCAGGGCAGCAACGTGGTCTGTGCAAGGCCCCACCTGCAGCTGAAGCATGCCTGCTGGGACCGAGCTCACTCCAGCGAAAGCCACAAGGCTCCTCATGCCCCCCAGGGACCACCTGCAACAGGCGATCGGAGGCTGGGGCGAGGGTGAGGCCGCCAAGACCAGGTGCGAGCGGGAGACCTCCAGAGAGCCCACCGAGAGGACCCGAGGAGGCTCCTCCGCCAGCTAAGCTGATGGTCCGGCCTGACTGACCCGACAGCTGGCTCCACCTCCCGGCTGGGCTGCAGATCCGTCTCCGGGCAGAGCATAGGGCTCTCCTGGCTCCACATAGGTGCCAGCACGGCACGCCAGACAACACTGCCTGGGCCTTGCCTTCCAGGCCAGCCTGAGGTTCGAGGATGCCAAAGGAGCGAGGGGTACAAACCTGTGCCTCCCCGTGGCTTTAAACTCTGGAGATGGGGGATGCCTACCGTAAAGAGCCAGCAGACCCGGACGGGAGCGGGCGCACGAGGAGCAGGGACAGCCGGTCTCCCTCCCACGC